ACTAAGTCAGCTTCATGAAAAGAGAGTTTATTTACTGCCGTCCACTGTCTTCCCTGTCTGGGAACACCAGAAGGGATGCTTCTGATTTACAACTTTGGTAAAAAAGATTGACTGTCCCATGGATAACTATAAGAATGTAGAAATCTGTCTTGGAAGAAGTATAGCCCAGCACAATGTCCAGTCCACAGACTTCTAGAAAATTCTCTTGGAAGAAGTCAGCTTTGACTAAGGAGAGGAACACCGAGTTTGTGGCTTTAACTCCTACCACACAACCCTACACAGAGTCGACGACGACCTGGCCCTGATGAAAGTGGACACCCCAGCCAGGCTCACCGCTGTTCACTGGTTCTAGCTCACAGGGGCTGTACAGAGGATCCCAGGGCTGTCCTGGTTACAGAAGCACCTGCCTCATTTTCCTCTCTAGGGACAGCTGCTGACCCTTTTGATAGCAGTTACGTGCTTTAACCACTGGGCTACGAGGACTACATGAAAGAGAGAAAGAGTAAACATTTTAGGGGAAACATAACGCAATTTGCTTAGCAAGAAACCAAGTCTAGCCATCCTTCTTGTCTGTAAGCAGCATCTCAGCTGTACTTCTCAGATGTGCTCATTTTCCTGGAAGTCCATGGGATATTCAACATTATTTGCACATACTGAAGTTCAAAGGAACCCTCAGAGGTGAGACTAGGGTGGGCAGAGTGGGAGATGCAACATCTTTCTCTGAGGCCCAGTATATACACTTGTGGCACTGGCCGGGTGATTCCATTTCATGGTGGAATCTGTCTAGTGTATTATCTGCTCTAACTTAGAATATCCATTACAGAGCAGGTTCAGCGCAGGCAATTTCCTTTAGGGGAAAGCAGCTTATCTGAATAGACTCCACTATGCAACTGCTGAAGGCTGTGTCCATTACATCTATGAGCACTTTCATATTCCAAAATTCTCCAAAAACAAACAGATGAGTGTATTTATATAGGCAAAGTGTGCCAGGCAGACTGCGTACATGAATACTAATGGGTATTTTATTCAGTATTTTCGGATTTTCCTTTCTTTCTCTTTCCAAAAGCCTTACTCATTTTATTACTCTCCGGAATTATTTTTCCCCCTACAGTGGAAAATTCCAGAAGTGAGCTTCCTGCTCTGAAATGAGGGTGCTGTGGGCTGCAGGAGTTGGTCGGCTGTAGGGAGGACTGAGTATGGGGAGACACCCTTTGGATATGGTCCACCGCTCTACCTCACTGATGCAAGCTGAAGGAAAAACCCTACCTGTTCTACTACTTCATCCTATTGAAGTAAGAATACCAGAGGCTGGCGTACTACTGTGCAAGGGAAGGCATCTGGTCCACCACCGCATAGGAGCAAGGGTGTAAGGAAGTCGGAGAGGCAAATCCGAGATTCCTGGCTGGGGCTGGCATGCTCCGAAAGCCAATGTGGACAGGGACAAGGACCCACAGGACGGGCAGTCACACAGGCTGGAAACTCCGTAGGGTGTGAACAGGCTGGGCTTCTCAGGAGCAATCAAATGCAATGTTGCTCAGGGGTTAGTTGTCCCTGAACTGTATACTAATGTCAGCCACAAGGGAGCGCTGGCGACAGCGTCTGTGGGGAGGTGCACTGCTAACCCCAAAGCACTGGCACTCTAGGTGGCTTGAATTCACCAGCTTCTCTGCAGGAGGAAGACGGCCAATCTCCTCCCGTGTGATTCACAGCCTTGGAAACTCAATGGAGGGTCCGCTGTGAGTTGGTTCAGACTCAACAACAATGAGTAGTGGGTAGTTGTTGTTTTCAGTGTGTTACAGACTGAAATGATGCTGAGTCCTGGCCATCTTGTGGTGAATCCACAAGTCCACTCATCTCAATGACAGTGTTCCTCATTCTCAGTGGTCCTCGCCCTGACTCCCAACTAGTCTCCACTCTTGTAAACATCTTGCCTGTCTGTGCCACATTTGCTAAAGCTGATGGGCCAATATGGGTTTTGATAACACATTGCCACGTGTCCCCTTTTCTAACATCATGCAGAATCGATGGTGCCTACCGCCATCTACTGATGGGACAGTAGGGTGAGTGCTGAGGACTAGATTCTGACTCACAGCCACCTTGCAGGACAGAGAACTGCCGCATAGGGTTTCCAAAGCTGTAATCTTCCGGGGAAACAGATGGACACAAGCACATCCCAAACTGCTGAGAATCATTAGGCATTTAAGTGTTTAGTTCAAAACTTTGAACCCGTTTGTTCCAGTTTGACTCCTGGCTGAGAATTTGCACTTTCATCCTAGAGAAATTGAGTCTGAGTCAACATTGTAATAGGATCCTTCTGGGAGCTTCTAGGTCCCTAGTCAATTTCCATGTACACAGAAGAATGTCCCTTTTAACCAAGGCATGCGGACTTAAGACTCACGATACAGACCTAAGACTCACGATGCAGGCTTAAGACTCAGGATGCAGACTTAGACACACACGGGGAGGATGTTAAAACGTGACTCAGTTTCATTGAGGTGAGAGAAAAAAAAATTCTCAGCAGAGGCTCACACAGAACACACTGGTCTCTAACTTGATGCCATACAAGTTTCCCACTGACTGATGCAAAGCTATGTGCAAAGAAAGCCTTTGAAATCATGCACGCCCACTCTCCACCACGTGCTTCCCCCTCTGGGTTCCCCTCCTTCCATTCTCAGCCCCATGATGTGGCATCGGAGAGATTTACTTAGTTAGCAAGTGTAAGGCATCCTTGGGAACACCCAGCACTGCTGAGTACTTGACCATGACTTAGAGCTCCATTTGTAAAATACTATGCTGGCCTCCGGAGAGAAACCGTAACATAAAAGTTTTCATAATAAAGCCCAATAGGACACTTGGAAATACACAAGCAGGTTGAAGTCAAGAAGTAAGAGCACAGGTGTGGGTGGCGGGTCAGGTCAGGGGTCCTTGGGGTGAGGAACTGGAGAGGGTGTGGAGTAGATTTTTTGTCTCATGGGGACCCCACATGACAGAGAACTGCTCCACTTGGTTGTTATTTTAAAATAAAAATTTACAGGGCAAACTGACACCCCCATTCAAGAATCCACACACATTGTTTCATAAACGTAATTGTAATTCCCACGTGTGGCAGCACTCTCCCCTCTCCATCCCACTGATGCCTGTTTCCATTCATTCTTTTACTCTCCTCTTCCTGCCAATGGAGTTTTGTTCTCGTTGCGTGCCCTTGAGTCGGAATCAACCCTCCATTGGGTTTTTAGAGGCAGCAGAAGGTTTTAGAGCACAGGAGAAGAATGCCCATCCTTTTCCCACACAGCAGCTGGTGGATTTGAACCGTGAGCCTTTGGGATTGCAGCAGAGCCTCTTATCACTAGGCCACCAGAGTTCCCAGGTTTGAAGCAGGTCTCTCAGACCCAATGTGGCCTGAAACAGACATCCCAGAAGTGACTAGGTAGACCATCCAGTGGCTGCACTCTGGAGCTTCCCTCCAGGCCAAATGCCGCCCTTTCCATCTCACACTATTGACTGTTAGGAGTGGGCACCTCCCTGGTGTTACTGAACACCTACCTGGTAGACCCATTTATTTGCCGGCTGGGAGTTGAGTCATGGGGATGACTTCAGCTCCACGCTTGAGGGGTGACTAAGGGCCATGGTCTTGGGGATCCACCAACCTCTATCAGACCAGCAGGTAGTGGCCAACACTGGGGCACGGCCTAGGTCTTCTGGTCTCAGGGTGAAAGTGGGCTTGTCTCCTTTTGTAACGATTCACAGCCTCAGAAGCCTGGTGGAGTTGGAATCCACTTACCAGCGGGGGGGGGTTTATTGTTTGTTTTTCAATCATTACAGAAACAGACAACCACATCTTTCCCCCTCAGAGCCTCTCTGCTCACTTCAAACCACAACTCTTCTGGTTAGCAGCTGAGTGCTTAACTGCTGTACCACCAGGCATCCCTGAAGGTGGGGTGCCTGTCCCTTATTTGAGAGCTGGCTCAGGTATTGCCTCTGGGAATATAGCCCTTAGCATAACTTCATGATTCATCTGTGGCCTTGCCTCGGAAGGCATGAATTCATCAGAAAGGCAGGGTCAGGGTGGCCTGGGAGCACCTCACTTATTAAACTCTCACCCAACAGTGGACGCCCAGCCCCAAAGTCAACGCTGTTCTCACTTCACTAAGGGTCACTCCCAAGCCCTGTGAAATTCTTGCTTTAACGGTTCCACCATTGCTCAGACTGGCCCCCAAGTGCAGCTGTGGTCACAGACCTGGGAGCAGATGCGAGGGGAAGGGGGCATTTGGAGGAAGTGTAGCCAGGACGCTACTTAGAGGTGAGAATGGGGAGACTTTGTCTTATGTAATCTTAGCATGTTATCAGGTGGGGCCATTCCCTGGAGAAGAACAGGATGGTTGGAGAAGCTAGTACTTGTTAGGTGCCCATGATGAATACGACTCACAGTGACTCTAGGAACCCCAGCTGTGAACGCTGCCCTACCCTGTGCCGTCCTCATCATCTCTGACACACTAGAGGCCATCGCTGAAGGCACTGTGTCAATCCACCACGGTGCCAGTACGTCCTCTATCTCACTGACCTTCCACTTCACCGAGCACGCTGTCCTTCTCCAGAGACCGGTCCCTCCTAATCATATTGATCACCTGCCCAAAGCACATGCGACAACGTCTCGCCAGCCTCAATTCTAAAGAGCAGGATCTCAGGACTCCCAAAGGCCCCTGGCTCGGGGAGAAATCGCTCCATCTAAACAAAACAGCTTCCTGTGACAGCTTTCCTAACGTGCTTTCTGTCTCGGGTGTGAGAGAGAGAGACAGAATTCTGTCTACCGCCCATGTGTGAGTGCTTCTGCGGGGCTGTGTGTTGACGTGATGCTGGAAGCCATGATGATGGCATTTCAGATACCACCAGGGTCAACCACGGGGGACAGACGAAGATGGGGAGTCCTGGAGGCGCACGCGCACATGCCCGGAGCCCCGTGGGCAGCAAGGCCGTGGCAGCGAGGGGACAGGGGGGCTTACCTGTTGCGGGGCCCGGGCCCCAGGCGCTGGCACACCACCGTGGTGGTGGCATGCTTGCCGCCGTTGCCTGTCTCCTGTGTGGAGTCCCACTGGCGAGGCTCACTGGTTTGTGTGCTCAGGATGTTCACGCCCTTCTTCACCTTGGCCCTGTGGGGAGAGGGGCGTGAGTGTCCCCATTAGAGACACGGTCATCCTTGATGGGCCCATGCCACCATGTGGTACTGTACCCACCAAACCCACCACACTGAGCCCCTTCTGATTCGCCCACCCTGCCGGACGGAGTCCAAACACCCTGCGGGGTCTTCCGGGCTGTAATCTCTCACTCAGAGAACCTGCTTCCAACCACTGACCTTAAGTCAGCAGCAACAATGCTAAACACAGCCAAGACTCTGAGAATGATGCCAGACTTCCACGGGGGTCACTATCAGCTGGAATGGCACCTAACAACACAGCTGAGGGAAGGCGGGGGCCAGGTGGACAGCATGGACCACCATGAGGCCAAGAGGAGGAGGAAGAGGGCTGGTGGTCAGCCTCACCCCACCTTCCACACTCAGAGACCCCAAGTAAGTCAGCCCCGACTCCAGAGGGTTACCTCTGGCTCAGCAGCCGCCTTCCTTACAAAATTCTCTCAACGCTTCTTTCTTCCATTAAAGTCGTTTGCTAAACACACATCTGTCTCCCCGCCTGTGCTCACAGGACAGAGAACAAAGGCCCCAGCGTGCAGAAGCCCTGTTCACCCCAACACAGAGGGACCCGCACCCCAGCTGTCCTGTTGACGCAGCACCAGTGCCTTCTGTTTGGATTGCTGGAAAGAAATGCCTGGTGAGATGTGACTTTGCTTGAAATTAGGTTTTGTAGCATTTGGGTTTTGCTCAAGATCTCAGATACCACTGAAGCTACAAATTGTTCTTTCCACTCGGTGGCTCCTGAAAACGGGAGGATGGATGTGTGTGGACTGGACAGAGGTGACTCCTTCTCTGTCGGCGGGAGAGCAGGCCACTGAGACGGGACAGAGGCTCGGGCTTTGAAAGTCATCTTGCAAACTGAGCATTTGCTCCAGAAAGGGAAATTCATGTCCTTCTCTACTTATTGAAGGAAATGGTGATTGTAGGATATGGGGTCAAGGACTAGAAGTTGCTGTCAGAGTCACTGTGATAGGAATCACTGAGGGTCAAGCTTAAGGATGCCAGGCATCGAGACACCTGTACATCTGTTCATCTCATATCCATGGTGTTAGGTCTCAAAGATCAAGTGGTTAGGCAAAAAACTGGCATTATGAGAAAATGGAGAACGACTATCTCCGATCATTAAGGGGAAGATCGCAAAGTAGCTGATCTCCACCTACCAAACTGTGTCAATAAGTAACTGCCAAGTTATGTCATTACATAATTGCCCAATGATATCATTATGTAACTGCGAAATTTCATCACACAACCGCCAAATCACACTGTCACGTGGCTGCTGAGAACCGTGGCCCAGCCAAGCTGACACACACCACAGTCACCACCGACTGTGTTACTCTCCCCTCAGACCTTGGCGTTCGTTACTACATCATTAATTCACATAGTAGTAAGATTGTTGTTGTTGTTGTTGTTGTTATATGCCATCAAGTTGCCTGCGACTCATAGCAACCCTATGTACAACAGCCCAAAACCCTGCTCTATCCTGTGACAATCTTATTCTCTGACACACCTACCCCCATTAACTCAGTCACCGAATCAATCCATCTCATCGAGGGTCTTCCTCTCCTGCGTTGTTCCTCCACCCTCTCAAGCATGACATCCCTTCTCCTAGGACTGGTCCCTCCATGCAACATGTCCACAGTATGTCAGATGAAGCTTCAGGATCCTTGCCTCCAAGGAGCAGTCTGATTTAACCGTCTCAAGGATGAACTTGTTTGTTCTCCTAGCAGTCCATGGTATATTTAATACTCTTCTCCAACACCACAGCTCAAATGCATCAACTCTCCTTCTATCATCCCTAGGTATTGACCAGCTCTCTGATGCATAACAAGTAATGGCAAAGACCATGGCCCATATCAGGCACACCTTAGTCTCCAGACTGACATCATTGCTCCTCAGTACCCTGGCGAGGTCTCTGACAGCAGATTTTCCCAATGCAGTAAGTTTTTTAAATTTCCTGGCTGCTGGTGCCAAGAGTGTTGATTGTAAAGCCAAGCAAACTGAAGCTGTCAACAATCTCAATCTCTTCCATCATCCATTATGATGCTGCCAATCAGCCCAGTGGTGAGAATCTTTGTTTTCTTGATGTTGAGCTTCAATCCATGTAGCAAGGTCCCCACTCCTCCGCCCCAGTGTCATAAATAAGAAAGAAAAGGCCAGGTAACAAGATAGTTGGTAAGTGAGGATAAGGTGTAGAGACTTGCTGCCATTTGGTGAGCGCCAATTCCTGGTGACTCCACATGCACCAGAGTGGAACCGTGCCGGCTGGGCTTTCAGCATCTGAGTGTTTGTAAGTCGATTACCAGGTCTTCCATCCCAGTCAGCTCTGGGTGGAATCTAACCTCTAACCTTCTGGCCGAGCGTGTGGATGCATTCAATGCTTACACCATCCAGGGACTCTACTTTTCATCATATGTTGATGTTGCTCCAGGCACCAAACCAGATGCTGGACTGCGTTTGCTTTAGGTCCAGGAGTGGGCCTGCCCTTGGGGTCTCTGATGCTATTAGAAGCGTCAGAGCAGGCTCATCCCCAGACACACTTATGACCAATTTTCCTATCTGGTGTCTCTACCTGTCAGCGAGTCCTGCGATGGCTTGTGTGTCGCTGTGATGCTGCTGGAAGTTGTGCCACTGGTCTGTCACAGACTACGGAGGGCAGGCTTCGTCAGAGCTCTCCGACCAGACAGACTAGGAATAAGGGTCTGATGGGCTGCTGTCAAGTATCAGCCAATGAGAACCCCTGGATCACAAGAGAACACTGGGGCTTGGTGCCGGAAGGTGGGCCCCTTAGGGTGGAGACACTCAGAACACACAGTGGCCGCAGCAGTGGCCTGGAGTGAGCCGGCCAGGGTGAGCGAGCCAGCCGGGTGAGGATGGTGAAGGTGCCCTGTTGTGTAGCGGGTACCGTGAACTTTAGCCCGCTCCACGGCACCTGGCAACAACAGTACTGTTTGTCACAGGCTCAAACAAAAGCAGCTGCCCTCTCTTCTGAATACACTCATCCCAGATGGAACGCAGAGGTGATTAATTGTCTCGTAAAGAAAATCAATGTCTGGTACAAATTCTGAACACGGGGTGCCTAATCTCCATCGCCCCAGGCCATCCATCTTTGGGGACCAGCAGTGCTCTCCTGGTGAAATTCTCCTCTAGAAGCTGCTGGGGCCCTGGGGTGAGCATGCCTGTGTGATGTGGGGATGGGAGGGGTGCGGCCCCGCGTGGATACTCTCTGGGAAGCTCTGGTCGGCCATAAAGGGTCACTGTGCATCAGAATCGACTCGATGCAGTAGACTGAGGTATGAATTTTGGAGTGTGACTCCAGGTATTAGAGGTCAGGGGCAAGGGGGGGCTGGACACATGGCAGTTTTTGCCCTCGGTGGGGGAAGCTATGAGAGTGACAAATACACACACCTTACTCCCACATACACTGGCCTCACTCAGAAGACTCAGAAGACACTGACCACCACTCTCAGAATACATCCTTTCACATACACAGAAAGTGATTCGAGGGAATGTTTCCATTTCCCAGTGCACCTAACAGATATGCTGACACTCTCCTGTAGCCTAGAAGTGCAAGAGTGAAATGCAGAAGTTTATGGGAATGAACTCAGTGTGACACAGACACGAGCTGAGCATGTGCTGCTGGGACAATGGTGCCATGGACTTGCTCAAAACAGGGTTGCCACAGTGTTCAATTTGTAAAAAAAGACGCAGCCTCTGCAAAGCCCAGGAAAGTGAAAGACAAGTAAAATGAGGTGTGCTTGTATACAGCAAAATGCATTTCACACGTACATAATACATCCCACTCACTCACATACCTGTGAGTCCAACGAACCACATCCTCATGTGCGCACACAAACATGTACACATGCTTCTTCATTCATCCACCTAGCCCTGTACACTTACACATACACACACACTCAGAACACATGCACACACGTGAACACAGACTTACACACACACACACATATAAGGACACTGTGTACACACAGACACACAGAGATCCCTGTGTATTTATACATCCACTGATGCATGCACGTGCGTGTGTACACACACACACCCCCCAACTCGCAAGGTAACCACCATCCTCTTTAATGGAGCACCAACAGGACAAAATAAGGCATTAATAATAAAAGCCGAAGGGCCGCGAGCTCCGCCTCCAGGCCCATCTTAGCATCCTGAGCGCCTGTCAGAGGCGTGCACATGGGCTCCAGTGCAGCTGCTCCATCAATACTCGATGTGCTGCCTCCCTGCTGACCTGGAGGAGCTGCCCAGGCTTCCAGAGAAGGATTGGAGACTCTTCCCGAGAAACAACTAAGACAGGAAGAGTAGCATTGAGCTTCCACAAAACAGCGCCCACTCCTTGGACCGACCCATGGGCCCCACCTGTCTGTCCTCATTCCAGAGACCACTCAGGAGGTGGAGGAGGCCAGACATGCTTTCTTGCAGATCTCGCATGAACTTCCCAGAATTCCTATTGGAGCTGATAGTAGCAGCAGGCTCTCAGGATGGACGTAGGGAAACTTCAGGGTGTGGGTAGGATGCAAGCACGTCTGGGTTTCCAGGGTCCCAGGCAGTGTGGTGTGGGGGTGAAGGCAGGCGTGCTGGACTCAAATTCCATCAATTTCTACCCACTCCCTGCTCTCATCTGCTTCAAGCCATCCCTGACTCGTGACAATCTCACAATGGAACAAAGCCCTGTCCGGGCCTGCAACATCCCATGACTCATGCAGACTGCACCACTGTGGTCCATAGTGTTTGCACTGATCACCAGACAACTGCCAGACCTTTCCCTCAAGATGCCTCTCGGTGGACTTGACCTTCCAAGCTTCAGGGTTAATGACTTGTACTTCTAACCAACCCCTTAGGAGGCCATAATTTAAGGGAGCTGACACCTTCCCACAGGTAGTTCTATTGTTTCCACCTATACACTTTCTGCTGGAGGGGAAAAAATGAGCACAAAGAAAC